TTAATGGATTTTGCCTGTGTTTCAGATGTTGACATGAACATAGCTCATGCCCAGTAATTTCTTTTCTTAAAGCAGCTTCAGTTTAGCCGCAGTTCGTTTTGATCCGCATCAATGACTCTGAAGCTGAAACTAGCCAACAATTTAGGGTCACATGAACTACTTGCACTTTAGCTGCAAAGACATAATAACATCTTAGAATAAATATAAAAACTTCCAAACTCTCTTTTCTTTATGGACAGGCAGTTTCTTTTAACCACTTTAAATGCACTTGCTAAAATAAATAAATATCTATATCTATATATATATATATAGATAGATAGATATCCTGTGACTCAATGATCTGAGGTGTTTCGCAGGAACAATAACCCATTACTTTCTCAGCCGTGCATTTCCTTACAGTTTAAAGTTTTAGCGCTAAGTGTGGAGCCACAATGTCGCATCTTGGACTTTCATTTTATGTTATTGCCCTTTTTTTTCTTGGAGTCTCTGACAAAGGTGAGAACAAACTATGTTAATACGCCTGCATGTATATATGTGATGTATTTCAATCTCATGTTCGATAGTTTCCCGATCAGTCTTACTAATTTTCTAATCATTTGAATTATGTGGATTTATTATTTGGAGATATTCTGATAAATGAAAACTTGAGTTTGTGTAAACAGTATAATGCAATAACTTTAAATAATGTGATGATTATTCTGTCAAAACAAAAGGAATAAGTTATATTTAGCACGGTGAAGTAGAGAGTAATGTGAAAGAAGTAACGCTGTTTCTGATAATAGCATGTCCACTGTGATGATGAAAAGCGCATTCTCCCAATCAGCACAAATTAGCAGATCAAAAACAATCACATGCGCTGATCGAGGAACAGAAAAACTGCAGTAATGGAGCCGCTTTCATGCACGTGTTTCTCCCCAGAAACAGCACAATGACTCAGAGCAACGAGAGGCAGCTGAAAGAGAATCAGTGTGTTTAATATCAGAACATACTGCTGTGTGTGGATAAATGTGCACGTGTGCGGCAGCTCTGCTTCATTACAAACTCCTCCACCATGAACATGAAGTCTTTGTAAATGTCAAACACCACAAAGGTACAATGTGCAGAAGAGCACAAAACATTATTCACAGTCAGGTCTTTTTTACTTCCTGCATGACCTGTAACATTGCAGACATTTATTAAAGTCAATATTCTGTACCAAAAGTTTCAGACATGACTCTAACTCACTTCTAATATGAGTGACACTAATTGCAGCATCGTGACAGATGTGCTGTAGGCTGTAGTGCAGGACTGAGAGAAGGAAAAACTACATGAAATTGATTTGTAGTGTTGCAGAGGTTTGTGTGTGTTTGACTCCCAATTTTTGTTCATCATGGACCGATTTCTAAATGTGTATACATATCTGAAAGAAGTCACTGTAAAAACTCAGCTGATTGTCTGTGTGTGTCTTTTATTGTGGCTCTCCTCCTTGACCCCGAGGCTTCATCTTCAGTTCTGCTCTGTTTCATAAAAACTGCAGAATTACTGAGGAGCAGAAAATGCAGAGTCAAAGTGCCAAAACTTTATCTTTCCTCTAACTCTTTCTCGGTCCGAAAAAGTTGATTCTGTTGATCTGGATGTCACGTTTTCAGTGGGAGAAATGTTTTGTTACTCAGCCAAGTGAACTTCAGTCTCAGCTGACTCCAGGTCTCCCCAACCTTATAAACAGTACATTTCCACAATGACTGAAACCAGCACCACTCATGCTGTGAGGTCAGTTTCTTGGTTATTAATGAATGCAAGTTGTCACTATCAGAGAGAAGTGACTGTTTAGAAACTCTTTTAAAATAATTGATTCATAAATTGATGGTTATGCTGTGATTCTAACGTTTGTGTTTCTTTTTCCAGGTTTGGATAAGAAATCAGGATCTAATCACAGAAATTTAGGTATGTTAACATCTGTGTTATTAAAGCCAGTTTTTATGTTCAGTGTTTTGTCATTTAATAGCTGTTCAGATTATTATATCCTTCTTTCCACTGTTTGTCTCGAAGGAATCAGGATCTTAGTCATTTATTTAGTCGGTCTTTGTTACTGCACTCAGCTTTTTGGGAGAAAATGCACTTTTAATTTCAATACTTTGTATATTTGTATGTTTGTATATTTCTTTATTATTAGGAAAAACTGTTGTTCATAAAAGTTAACATTTTGTCTTGTTTGTCAAATATTTTGACATCAAGTGATTTTAAGTGAGAATTGTGAAAATGAACAAACAAGCTGCTCGTGTTGCTGAAATGAAATCTAATGCAACAGTTTATTCACTGCTCTTTGCAAAGGTAAATCAAACTCACAAAGACAACCTAGTTGTGTGAACCTTGATTTATTTAAAAACTTCCACAGGAAATGTTTTTGAAAACACATGAATAGATCCCCACTTTTGGATGTCACTGCATATAAGGTAATTTATTGGGGATCTTTTCACATTATATGTTTATTATTGGATACAAAAACGAAAAAAGAAGTTGAGAGCATCAAGCTAAGGCTTCGTTCATTAGGAATTGCATTCACTATAGGGATGGTATTGGTTTCCTCCAGACATGATGCTTGGCATTCAGGCCAAAGAGTTCCATGTTTGTTTCATCAGACCAGAAAAGTTTGTCTCATGTTCTGAGAGTCCTTGCCTTTTGGTAAAGTCCAGGTGTGTTGCCATGTGCTTCTTGGGACCTTCAATACTGCACACATCTTTCTGCACACTTTCCTACAATCCTGTCTCAGAGATATACAACCAATTCCTTGGACTTCATGGCTTGGTTTGTGCTCTGTCACCTATGTGACCTGATAGAGACCGGTGTGTGCCTTTTGAAATCCTGTCCAATTCAACTGAATTCATCACACATATAGAAACATCTGCCAGATGATCACTGGCAACAGGATACACCTGAGTGTGTCCAGTGTCATGGCAACATCTGTGAATAATGTGTGTGTTATAGTTTTGGTTTTCTTTTTAATACATTTGCAAGAATTACAAGCAAACATTTTCACTTTGTCACTCTGGCGTATTGTGTGCAGAGTTTCAAGGTGAAAATGAACTGAATGAGACAGTAACATGACAAATGTAAAACAAATCACTGTGGATACGTTCAGAACAGACTGCTGCAGAGAGACGTGCCTCCTTATTTATGGTGACCGGGCTTAGGAGACAGAAGTATCTGTAGATGGTTATTCTGCTTTTTAACATTTCATAAATGCTCCAGTGTGATACAATAAAGCGAGTAAACTGACCATTCTTCCATCAACCATATTTTTCTAGTCTGCCTCGACTCTCTGAATATGTGTTACAGTCAGGTACCAACGTAGCTAGAAGGAACTACAAGAAGGTAACGTCTTGCTGTAGCTCCAGGCTGCACATGTTTATATTATTGTTATTATTATTATTGCCTTTCATGCTGTTGCAGCTATTGTATGTGATAACCCACTGACTCCTATACAGTGAAACTTTTTTGTTTCCTCTCTGCCAACTGATGTAAGAGTTTGCTGTTGAACCATAGGCTGAGCAGTCACAACTGTTCAGTTAACATTTTATTTCATACAAAGTGCCAATACCAGCTACCTGTGACAACTACTGAAAAACATAAACACGTCCCTACAACAAGCACATGGTGAATGTACTGTGATCTGACTGAACCTGCCCTGCATCGCGCAACCATCGCTACCAGCCAACTAATGTGACGAAGACTGAGTAGCCTACGCCACCTGGTGGTACACATGTACACTGAGCATGAGAAGCTCGGGGTTAATGAGCTTTAGATTACAAATCAATCTCTGCACAGATCAGATGTAGAAGAGTCGCGTGTAAAACTCAGACAGTTGAACAGCTGAACGACTTGTAACTGCAGATATTTAGGAAAAAAATCTTTAAAAAAAAATTAACATGTTTGAATGGTAATTGGGGTTTCACGTGTGTACAAACAGTCTGTAGGATTGTGCTGCTCTTGACCTGGAAAACGATCTGAAGAGAAATCGAAAGTGTTCAGTGCAGCCGCTGTCTGTGCTTTTAATCCTGTCTTGTTATTATTTAAGATTTCTGTGCTTCTGCCGCTCCTGGTAAACTCCGCTTTCACTCTATTCCCGTCCACTTGTCAATCAATCAGCACTCGACCAACGCTATCCCTGTCCACAGACATGCAGGTAGTCTCTTGAAAGACTGAGCAGGAACATTAATTGGGTGGAAAGCCCACTCTGTCAGAACGAAACACTTTAAGCGTAATTGATTGTCCTCAAGTGCGTTCACGTCTCCGTTTGGACAGCGAACTGAGAGATGGTGACGCTCAGACTTTCAGAACTGGAAGTGACGTGAAATGTTGAGTAACTTGACTCCTTGAGCTGTACGCATTTGATTGGATCAAACTCAAGGAACTACAGAAGCAGGAACCTGGAGTTTAAATGAATGGCGAGTCAATGAAATGTCCTCCTTTGGAGTTTTATATTATTTTCTTGCTGTTTTCATTTCTGGAGCCTTTGACAAAGGTGAGAAAAAAACTGCATATTAATGACAGTATGTGAGTTAGACCCTTTTATAGAATTGACTTTTATTTTTATTTTTATAGAGTAGAGGTCACTAAGGTGACCTGAGAATTTAGATTATGTTGTGACAAGTACAACCACCGACAGTGTTAAAGTATATTTTCTGTGGTTTCTCTGAGTATTTAGGAGGGGTTAGTGACAGTCACGGGGCTGTTGGAACTTGTTCTTTAGGAGAATCATAGCAACACTTCAGCATTCCCAGTATTTTTTTTCTTTTGTGTGTGTGTGTAGGGTGGGGGGGGGGGATGAATTAATCTCACTCTGAATCAATTTTCAATATGTGAATGTCATAGTTTGAAAAAGTAATAAGGTCATGCAGCTTATTGTTGGTGTCGACCTGCAAAGAAGAACAAAAACTAGAAGAACAAGAAGGGCAAAAGGGACAACGTGGAAGTTGTGATATTATGTCAGCTTACAATCTGAAGAAGTGTAGACTTGATGGCTAATGGTGCCCTGAGTGACATTTGTCTGAAAATGTTTGCACAGGTTCATGCCATAATCCACACAATTTATTATTTATCAAACATGGTAATGTGAGAATTGTTAATGCTGAATTCAAGTGTAATATATGAGTTTTTATAATAGTCATTGTGAATTGATAATGTTGTTTTAACAAATGTTTTTTTAAAGAACTCAAACAGAGAAAGTGCATATGTCCTCCAGTGAGTCATTTATTGGTTTAGCTTTAAAATTTGGAGATTTTCCTAAACTGCAAACTGAAAAAAAAAGTTTGACCTTGATCTTTGATGTATGACCTCTAAGCATTACATACTATTGTATGTACTTTAACTGCCCTTTCATATGATATATTACCCAATATGGTAAGTCAGATTTGACCTTGGGCGCTAACAATGAAGCTCAAAACAGCCTGTTTTTTCTAAACAGCCTGGGTTTTTTGGGGGTTTTTTTGGGGTTTTTTTTTACATTCCTTGGCATAATAATAAATCTGTCTATGGAGACGTCGGGATGAATCTTACATCTAATATATTACGTAGCCTGAAAATCTTGCCTTGTGTCTGAAAAGGGTGGATAGTGATCTGCACATGTGTGTGTGCACCTCTATGGTTGTGTTTGGGGTGTTGCAGTAGAACTAAAAAAAAAGTGTCAGTGTGAGGCTGAAGGTGCAAGTGTGTGTTGCAGGAACTGGGATAGCCAGTAACACTGGGCCTCATGTGTCAGCAAGTTGGACTTGAACATTATATTTAAAGTGCCTCACAGCTTGATCT